TTCATCTATTTTAGCTATCAAACATTACAAGAGTGGCTGTCGGTATTTTGTCGAAAAAGGAATGTAATGTTTTTCATCTATTTTAGCTATCAAACATTACAAGAGTGGCTGTCGGTATTTTGTCGAAAGGAATGTAATGTTTTTCATCTATTTTAGCTATCAAACATTACAAGAGGTGGCTGTCGGTATTTTGTCGAAAGGAATGTAATGTTTTCATCTATTTTAGCTATCAAACATTACAAGAGTGGCTGTCGGTATTTTGTCGAAAAGGAATGTAATGTTTTTCATCTATTTTACCCATCAAACATTGCAAGAGTGGCTGTCGGTATTTTGTCGAAAAGGAAATGTAATGTTTTTCATCTATTTTAGCTATCAAACATTGGCAAGAGTGGCTGTCGGTATTTTGTCGAAAAGGAATGTAATGTTTTTCATCTATTTTAGCTATCAAACATTATAAGAGTGGCTGTCGGTATTTTTTGTCGAAAGGAATGTAATGTTTTTCATCTATTTTAGCTATCAAACATTACAAGAGTGGCTGTCGGTATTTTGTCGAAAAGGAATGTAATGTTTTTCATCTATTTTACCTATCAAACATTACAAGAGTGGCTGTCGGTATTTTGTCGAAAGGAATGTAATGTTTTTCATCTATTTTAGCTATCAAACATTACAAGAGTGGCTGTCGGTATTTTGTCGAAAAGGAATGTAATGTTTTTCATCTATTTTAGCTATCAAACATTACAAGAGTGGCTGTCGGTATTTTGTCGAAAAGGAATGTAATGTTTTTCATCTATTTTAGCTTATCAAACATTACAAGAGTGGCTGTCGGTATTTTGTCGAAAAAGGAATGTAATGTTTTTCATCTATTTTACCTATCAAACATTACAAGAGTGGCTGTCGGTATTTTGTCGAAAAGGAATGTAATGTTTTTCATCTATTTTACCTATCAAACATTACAAGAGTGGCTGTCGGTATTTTGTCGAAAGGAATGTAATGTTTTTCATCTATTTTAGCTATCAAACATTACAAGAGTGGCTGTCGGTATTTTGTCGAAAAGGAATGTAATGTTTTTCATCTATTTTAGCTATCAAACATTACAAGAGTGGCTGTCGGTATTTTGTCGAAAGGAATGTAATGTTTTTCATCTATTTGAGCTATCAAACATTACAAGAGTGGCTGTCGGTATTTTGTCGAAAAGGAATGTAATGTTTTTCATCTATTTTACCTATCAAACATTACAAGAGTGGCTGTCGGTATTTTGTCGAAAAGGAATGTAATGTTTTTCATCTATTTTACCTATCAAACATTACAAGAGTGGCTGTCGGTATTTTGTCGAAAAATAAAGGTAATGTTTTCATCTATTTTACCTATCAAACATTACAAGAGTGGCTGTCGGTATTTTGTCGAAAATAAATGTAATGTTTTTCATCTATTTTACCTATCAAACATTACAAGAGTGGCTGTCGGTATTTTGTCGAAAAGGAATGTAATGTTTTTCATCTATTTTACCTATCAAACATTACAAGAGTGGCTGTCGGTATTTTGTCGAAAATAAATGTAATGTTTTTCATCTATTTTACCTATCAAACATTACAAGAGTGGCTGTCGGTATTTTGTCGAAAATAAAATGTAATGTTTATCATCTATTTGAGCTATCAAACATTACAAGAGTGGCTGTCGGTATTTTGTCGAAAAGGAATGTAATGTTTTTCATCTATTTTACCTATCAAACATTACAAGAGTGGCTGTCGGTATTTTGTCGAAAATAAATGTAATGTTTTTCATCTATTTTACCTATCAAACATTACAAGAGTGGCTGTCGGTATTTTGTCGAAAAGGAATGTAATGTTTTTCATCTATTTTACCTATCAAACATTACAAGAGTGGCTGTCGGTATTTTGTCGAAAAGGAATGTAATGTTTTTCATCTATTTTACCTATCAAACATTACAAGAGTGGCTGTCGGTATTTTGTCGAAAATAAATGTAATGTTTTTCATCTATTTTACCTATCAAACATTACAAGAGTGGCTGTCGGTATTTTGTCGAAAAGGAATGTAATGTTTTTCATCTATTTGAGCTATCAAACATTACAAGAGTGGCTGTCGGTATTTTGTCGAAAATAAATGTAATGTTTTTCATCTATTTTACCTATCAAACATTACAAGAGTGGCTGTCGGTATTTTGTCGAAAAGGAATGTAATGTTTTTCATCTATTTTACCTATCAAACATTACAAGAGTGGCTGTCGGTATTTTGTCGAAAAGGAATGTAATGTTTTTCATCTATTTTACCTATCAAACATTACAAGAGTGGCTGTCGGTATTTTGTCGAAAATAGATGCGATCTTTTTGGTCGATTTGAGGCGATAGTGATTTAGCAGAGACCAGGGTTGAAAAGTCGCAAGCGACTTTTCAACCCTGGCCCCATCTCGATCCCATGATGGTCTTCACTTTGCATAATCCCTCGAATTCTGATGACAAAAAAATGAAAAAGGTTCTGCTGTTCGCTTATATAAACTAACGTCACTTCCGGTGCATGCTAATTTTTTCGGAACAAAGAGGCTGCCCGAAAAGTTTATAAAAACGGCAATTTAATGTTTAAAACAGCTGATTTTGTTAAATTTGATACGCGTGAAGTCATCCCAGAGCCATCACACACACCTAATGACGTATCATACGTAGTTTGAAATTCCTCGCCTGTCCAGGTATCCTCCGGACAGCCTGACGGAGGTTGGATGCAAAGTGGCATAGAGACACATACATATTTTTTATATATAGTAGGATTGTGAGAATTGACATCCTACCTTATATAATTTTGGCGTGTAACTGTGTGTGTTGATGTATCAGAATCCCGATGAAATGCAAGTTTACAAAGATAAAGCCGGTTTTATTCACTTTGGGGGACTCAGGAGGGCCAATTTGCATAACGTGAAAAAATACAAATTTCCTCATTCTTGCCAGTTGCACACGCGCGAGTTTGGTCGGGCGTGGGGGTCCGCAGGACCCGAGCCATCGGAGTCAAATTTTCATGCAAAAGAGACCATCCAGCGCCTAAGGCCCGCGACGCGGGTTTTGGGCGCTGATATTTGCATATTTTTGCATAGACATACATTTGCATAGACCTTGCATACGTCTGAGACCAAACCGAAGGACCTTTATTTCCCGTGACGGCGTTAAACGGAATGGTTGCTGATGGAGGAGCCGAGGTCCTGATTTACACGCCGCAAGGTTTGACGCCGTCGACAAGTTCTCGGTAAGATCATCTACCATAGCCCGAGTTTCGTGTCTTGCAGCAGCTACACGGCAAATGCGTGGATAAAGATCGTCGGCACGCGGTGGATGGGCCTTGTGGTGCAGGTCATGCTGTGTACGGGCGAGCTACTGGCGAGCCATACGATCCACGGCGATGCTCCGAAAACGACACCGTAGACCAGCTCCTGCGAAACTTAATCGAATTTCAGTGCACCTTCCCGTTGATCGCCGCACGCAGATCAAAAAAGCGGTCTATCGTGTGATCGCGAAGGTAGAGGATGCGGCAGGATTGCAGTTGTTTCGGCTCGCTTCACAGCCTATTAGTGTGGGGATATACGCCTAAAAATAAAGAATATCATTGCAGATGTACAAGCACTTTTGGCGCATTCTGAAGCCGGGAACGGTAATAGTTTTAATGATTGGTTTGACGCCGAATTTAGGTCGTCGCCAGGCATGCACGCGGCCGGTACCCGAGTTTTGCTGATGGATCCGCTGGGTGCACCAATTGCGTGGAAGTACTCGAGTTAAAAATCTTTGCCTGTAAGTTTGAATATTTGGGTACTGGACTGTCAGCTGGGGGAGGTGGTTCTTGAGTACTCCTGGGGGTTGAATTAAAAGGGCCCTTAATTTTAGGTCGAAAAATCAATTTTTCGACCCAAAATGACAAATTTTTGACTTTTTCAAGCGTTTTTCTGACTTTTAAAAAAGTTTTTCCTATTAAAATAGGCTTAAATTTTGCTAAAAACAATGTGAAAACACTTTATATTTGGTTACTACAATCACCAGGGCCAACAGAAAAAAAGTGCCCGAAAAAAACAGAAAAAAGGTCCCCCCAGCGGATAAGGATAGCTGGGGAAAAGTTGGTTTCCCTCCGCTAACAGTCCAATGCCTAAATGTTTGAGCCACTTTCTTTATTTAGGACTCTTCTCTCTACCTCAAGACCGCGACGCAAGTCCTCTTTGCTGCCTGTTTCGCTGAACCAAACATGCAACAAGGGTAACAAGGTGTGTTGTGGGCGGCAAGCCAGGCCGATTATGGCTTTGTTTTATTTCATTGGTTTTCCAGGCCCAGCCCAATACCTCGCTGTTTAACGACCGAGTTACGATGATCGAGGCCGATGGTTCACGCGGTGGCGGCTGAATCTACGGGGCAGATCTTCTACATGGTGAGTGGCGCCGTCCGTCTGAAACAAATTTGGTATTTAGGAAAAGAATTCGGTAGCGCCCGCCGCTGCTGGGGAAGATCTCAAATGGGCCTTCACCTCCGTGAACGTGGTATGATTTGTCCGATTTTAGCTAGCAAACATTACAATATATCATCTCGGTATTTTGTCGAAAATTCATGTAATATTTTTCATAAATGTTAGGTTTTTGTATCTCGTTTATTGAATTCCCAGATTTCGTGCCGTCTTCTGTCCTGGAGCACGCCGTCGCAAATTCTCCTCAACTTTGGCCTGTCTCACGAAGTTGATCATCTGCACGGCTATTCCGCGACACAGCGGGTTGAAGTCCTACTGGGTGATGTCGCGCGCTGACCGAGAAGTAAGCGGCATTTCCACCTGTATAATATAAAGCTATGAGCCGGAGAATAATGAAGCGAAACTATGGAATCTTTTAGGCAATGCAAGTGTGCCTCCGATGTGAAGGGAACAATGAGCTACCAACTGCCAAAACGCCCAAAGTACTCGGCTAATGAAATCGAGCGCTTTACGGCAATTTACGGCCAGAAGCCGGAACGCAACCGGGATGCCTAGGACCGCACCATTTGCCGTAAATAGTCGTCGTGATCCAACGCTTGGAACTGCAAGCCGTTTCTCACTTGTTCAAAAACATTTATCACTCGAAATGATATGTCGATAGCAGCAATCTCAGTTCACAAAAATCGCCGTGCGAAGAGGTGGAAAAGTCAGCGATAAATATCACAAGCGTAAATAACGACGGAATTTTTGGTCTCAAGTACAAAACGCATGGGGGCGAGGAGAGAAAAACAATATTTAGTTGAGTGTTGGGGCGGGGGGATGAGGCGCTTAGCAATGACAATTACCGAGGTGTCAATAGGAAAGGGCCGCTTCTTTATATTCGGAGCCATCGAAAGGAGAACAGCTCCTCCAGTCGCCATTCCAGCGTCTCGAACAAGTCGGCCAGCTCCCGGATCGGCACGCCAGCACTAAAAATGAGGGGCTCTTTCGCATTATCGGGGCGGGGAGGCAAAAATTTTTGTATACGTTTAGAACTAGAATAGAATAGAAATAGAATGGAATAGAACGTCTCGAATTTAATAGGAAGCGTTTCAAAAGTTTCTATAATTAAATATAACCCTATTTCAACTAGAAAAACATAAATACATATATTTTTTGTATTTTTAATCAAAATTTGTAAAGTTTTAATTGTTTCTATTGTAAAAATTGGATTCTAAGAAAAACGCTGTTCCCCCGATAATGCCAAAGAACCGTAAAAGGTAGAGAGTAAAGGGCGCAAAAAGTCTCTGTCACCGCCCCCTCACCTGAAGCATAATATCGTAGAGCGGGGGCGGGCAATTCGGCGGACACTGCATGCGGTAGCCCTGCTCGACTTGTTGCAACACTTCCGCATTCGTCATCCCTAGAGTAGTAAATATTAAATCAGGCATAAAATAGGGAATACCTGGGTACGGTATCCGTCCAAACGTCACCATCTCGGTGAGAAGAATGCCGAAGCTCCATACGTCCGACTTGGTGGTGAACTTGTTGAAGTTGGCGGCCTCGGGGGCTGTCCACTAAAAATGCGAGGGTCGGGCTAATACAAACGGTGTCCAGCAGTACCTTAATTGGGAACCGTGCGCCGGGGTGTGCTTCGTACTCGGCCTCCTTCAGCAACAGCCTCGCCAGCCCGAAATCGGCAATCTTGACGGCGTTCGCGTGCGAGACGAGGATATTTCGGGCCGCCAGGTCGCGGTGGATAAAGTTCTTCGACTCGAGGTAGCCCATCCCGGATGCAACCTGGAAAACAGAATTTGGGCCATGGTACGCAATTTCCGCTACAATACAAATGACACGCGTGACGCCTGGGTGGCGCTGGTGTTTTTATCAAAACCCAAGCGCTAATGTCCTGCATCCCGGTACTGGACTGCTAACGGGGGGTTGGTGGGGTTAGCCGGGGAGAAAAACGAGAATCTTTCCCAGCTGTACGGCCCTATAAAAAATATCGACCATTTTTAAAGTACTCTAGACAATTTTTGTGTTTATATAAAGCTAGTAAAAACCAGGGTTGAAAAGCCGCTTCGCGACTTTTCAACCCTGGCCCCGTCTGACTTGTGAGCCCATGATATCCTGCACATTGCATAACTCGGCCGAATTTCTATGAGAAATAATGAAAAATGCACCCTCCCCGACGTTATATAGACTGCCGCCACTTCCGGCCTATGCTAATTAATTCTAACAAAGAGGCTGCCCGATTTTTAACAAAAATTGATTTTTAATGTCGAAAATAGCCCTATTTGCAAAATTTGATAAGCGTGCAGTCATCTCGGGACCATTACGCACCTAATGACGTATCATACGTAGCCTAATACCCTTCCCCCTTTGAGATATCCGCTGGACACCCTGACGGAAGTTGCATGCAAATGCACACACACACACACACACAAACACTATTTTTTTATATATAGTAGGATATACAATTTTCGAATATTTTTGACTGTAGGTCAAAAATATATGAAGAATGGCAAAAAATCGGCAAAATTTTTGAATTTTCAGTCACTTTTTGGAGATTTTTGCAAGTTTCTAGGAGTCAAGAACTTCTCAAACCCCTATAAAATACATAATATACCTCCCCCCTGCTAACAGTCCAGTACCGAATCCGCTCCGTCACCCTGCCAAACTGTAAACCGCCGGCAGTTGGCACTGCAGATAGGATCTTGCATCCGCAAAACAACCATGCACGGACGACCAGTTAGCGCGCGTAACCGGTTACCATGACTCTCTATCTCTTCTCTCTCTCTCTCTCTCTCTCTCTCTCTCTCTCTCTCTCGCTCTCTCTCTCTCTCTCTTTCCCTCTTTCTCTCTCTCCCTCTTTCTCTCCCTCTCTCTCCCACCCCCTATCCGCTCCCTCGCCAGCTACAACGAACCTGTGCGGCCATATCGACGAGCTGGCGAATTTGTTGGCGGAGCTGTGCCTCGGCGGGGCTCGGACGACCTCGGCCCTAGAAGCAGAAATTTAACTATCTAACTAAAACTTTCGAGAAATTTCCCAAATCATCGCTGCCAGATACCTGTAAATAGTGGAGCAAGTTCTCGCTCATCAGCTCGGTGACAATCAATATGGGCTGCTCCCTGGTGCAGACGGCGTACAACTGCAGTAGACGAGGATGTCTAAAAATAACAATAAAAATTCTATTGCTGCTTACTTGAGCTTCTTCATAATCTGCGCCTCGGCCAAAAAGTCGGACGGGTCGGCGGCGCCGGATCGCAGTCGCTTCACCGCCACGGCCACATTGTTATTCCACCGTCCTTCCCACACCTATAAACGGACTGGTGTTCATTGGAATTGCGCATTGGGTACTGAGTATTTCCGGGTGGATCCTACATCTTTTATTTATAAGTCTTGTAAATATCCCTAGTAACGTAATATATAAGTTTCTTAGTAGCAGTATAGTAAAATTTGGGATCTAGGTAACGCTAAAAAAGCTAAAAACTGAAAAATTAAATGTCCAATTTTTATCGAAAATCCGTCGATCTTATCGATAGTTTCGCTCGAAAAAGCGAAATTTATTTTTTACTTTTATGAATAATAAAAACTTTAAAAACTCGAGCTAGGCGGAAAAATTCAAAAACCGCGCGTACCTCTCCAAATTGACCGGCCCCAATTTGTCTGATCAACTGTCCCGGAAACTACCGCCCCGTTGCCCTGACCTCCTCCATTTGCAAACTAATGGAAGTAGCTTTAAAACGAAATCGTGGCGCGTCTTGACCTAAATAATTTCTTTTCGCCAGCCCAATTCGGCTTTAGAAGTTTCATTCCACGACGACGCAGCTTTTGCAAATGTTTCACAAAATCTCTGAGAAAAATGCGACGCCGACGAGGACCCTATCGCGATTTAATTTTGATCTCGTGCCAGCTTTTGGTCCAGGGATCTAACTGCACGCACTTTAATCACTAAGCTTTCTCCTTATACTTTCCCGCAGATATTGATTACTTGGATTGAGGCTTGTTTGACAAATCGATCTTTCTATGTGAAAACTGGGGTGATCAAAGTCGAACGCCCACCCACAACCCTCAGGAGTGCTTTTAGGTAGCGTATTAGGCCCGCTACTTTTTCTCATGTATGACAGACGATCTTCCTTCCCTTCTAACGAACAGTAGCCTAATTTTTGCTGATGACTTAAAAATTTTTTCCAGCGTGCCACCCATAGCCCACCTTGGCTGATCCTGCTTTTAGAGCTCTCCAGGCAGATAAATGCGGTCAAAAGCTGGTGTGTTGAAAATCAAATGTCACTTTCAACCTCCAAAACTTTTATCCTAACGAACATTTCCCCAGCCCGTTTCCAAGATCTCTACGTAGACAATACCCGGATACCAAGTACAAATGTGATTAAGGACCTAGGGATCACTTACAATCAGAAATTTAACTTTGAATCGCATATCGCCGCTATCCGATTAAAAGCCGCTCGTATATCCTTCCTTCTTATCAAAAGAATTCAAATTCCAAATGCGATCACGTACCGGCGTGCTTTCAGTACTTTAGTTAGGCCGATTTTGGAGTACGCTTCCGAGATTTGGAACCCAACCAAAAGCGCAACATCAATGAACTTGAAAGTGTCCAACGTAAATTTACTTTCTTTGCCTATAAGAAATTGTTCCCAAATGAGCCTATGCCCTGTTACCCAGATCGACTAAAATTCTTTTCACTTCCCACTCTAGCGCACCGTAGAACAGAAGCGGATTTAGTTACATTTTATAAGCCTTTTTTGTAGAAACCTTTCCGTTCAAATTTTTGGAATGCACTAAATCGCCCGGTAAGGAATGCCCATGCTTTTCAAGTGAAGAGAATCCATAGTAAACAAGGTTTCCCCGTTCTTTCTTCTCGCGTAGAGTTGCAAAACCTGGAATAAGCTCCCGCCTAGGGTCTTCAAAGAAGGTCAATTGGGAAATGCAAAGAGCTTTCGTGTAACTTTAGAAAAAATGGACCTGTCCCAATTTCTGTGATCTTTTTTTCTCTCCCCGTTTGTTTCCGCATGTTATACAACCTCTGAACCATTGGCACCTACATCGCCCACTCCCCACTCTTATTCAACTACTGAATAAAGTATATATATGAAAAAAAGTCTTGTAAATATCCCTAGTAACGTAATATATAAGTTTCTTAGTAGCAGTATAGTAAAAATTTGGGATCTAGGTAACGCTAAAAAGCTAAAAACTGAAAAATTAAATGTCCAATTTTTATCGAAAATCCGTCGATCTTATCGATAGTTTCGCTCGA